CAGAGGGGAGGAGGGGAGATGGCGAACACCCCTCGAAGAGGGGGGTGCGAGGAATGCCTCGAGAAGCGCCTACAGCGTTAATGCTAACCTCGGCCGCTGTAAGGTGCTTTTCGAGGAGGTCTATAGTGAGCTCAGTGGGGTCCATGGCGAGGAAGGTGTCTTTGACAGCGCGAAGAGAGTCAGGGAGGCGAGTGACTAGGAGGTAGAGGGTGTAGTGAATAGGGGGAGGGTTCTTGGCGAGGAAGTCGGCAGGGGTCGCGGTACGCACCCTAGCGTCGCTAGTGCGGAGATGGGTGATGAGATCAGCGACTGTAGGAAAGGCGGACAGGTCAGGAAAGAGGTAGGGCAGGATAAGACGGCCTAGCACAGTAGTGGCAGGCGAGCTGTAGCGAGCTACGACTGCGTCGAACAGGTCCTTGGCGGTTTTCTGCTGGCTAAAGTGCGCGCGCTCGGCTAGTGGCAGGTGGTTTCGCACAGCTAGGCGAGCAGCAGCGTCGCGAATAAGCCACTGGTCACGAGTGTCAGCGTCAGCAGTGTCTGCAGGGGCGGCAGCGCTACCAGACGTATGAGCGAACAGGGACACACGATCCTTAGACTCGCACTGAAGGTAGAGCCTAAGGTCGTCTAACCAGGTCTCAAATTCGATCGGGCGGCCATCTGCGTCAAAGGTGAGAACGTTATAAGTCGCCATCGTTGGTAGCGCAGGGCAGGAAGGCGGCGCTGACTAGGTTAGGGGTGGCCGGGAGCGCGGCAGGCGGTGCTGCGCAAGGGCAGGGGTAGGGATGCGCGGGGGCTGGCTGCGCACGGGCAGGGCAGGTGGCGCGGCGGCGGGCGGCGCACAGGCAGGGCAGGGAGGCGCGGCTGCAGGCTGCGCACGGGCAGGGCAGGGAGGCGCGGCGGCTGGCCGCGCACGGGCAGGGCAAGTGGCGCGGCTGCGGGCTGCGCACGGGCAGGGCGGGGAGGCGCACCTGCGGGCTGCGCACGGGCAGGGCGGGGAGGAGCAGCTGCGGGCGGCGCACGGGCAGGGTTGGGTGGCGCGGCGGCGGGCTGCGCACGGGCAAGGGCAGTGCGCGCGCGAGCGGCGCACGGGCAGGGCAAGCGCGCGGGCGACGGGGCGACGCAGCAGCAGCGCGACGCGGCCAGCAGCGCGCGCGGGGTGGGGCAGGCAGAGCAGCGCGCTAAAAAAAACAAGAGGCGACTAGGTCGTCCTAGGGTTGCGAAGCAAATTGGTATGAAACTCTCATTGTAGTGTAGTATGAAACCATAGTAGCGTGGTACAAAGTGGTGCATCATCTTTCCTAAAAAATTCGAATCTGTCCTGGAGTTGGAATCGAACCCTCGACCTTTCGATTCTCAGCAAAGTTTCAACCGACTGGGAAAACGCTGCCGCTTTATGAGCGTAACGTATTTTACAGGACCGTTTATTTTGCGACGAATTTGGCATTGCATTAGGGTTAGTTCAACCCTTTCCTTTCTCCCTCGCTAGTTGAACCACCCCCGCCAGTCACGCTACTCCACCTGCAGATGCAAGGTGAGATCAACCTAAGTTAGGTGATTAAGAGCTAGCCTGTATAGAACTAAGTTAGGAGATTAAGAGCTAGCCTATCATTTCTTATTATCGTATCGTAGTCGTTTACTCAATTCTTGGTCATTTTAAAGGATCCAGGTTTTTAAAGGTTAGGTTCTAGACTTGTTTCAAGTACTTAAGCTTTAAGTCGTTTATAAGCCTGCATGCGTTCTTTAGTTCCTCATCGTCCTTTTCCTTCCGTCGCATCCTTATCACCTTGTAGTTGCATATGTTATTTGACATTCTCACTTCATTTCCTCCTTTCTTCTTTCTATGTAGATTTGAATACTTAACCTTCACGTTTTAGTTCTTGTCTTGTGCTCCTTATTTATTGCCACCACCCATACGTGCCTTCTCCATTTCGTTTCTGAGCTCTATATACCCTTGCCCTTCAGCTTTCATTCCATTCAGTCATGAGGTACACATTCAACGGGCGTCCCCTTTCAACTATGCACGATCTAATCGTAGCTAGGTGAGTTCGCTCTATTGATATTTTTGTTTTGTTTTTTTGTTGTTGTTTTTTTAGTATTTGTATTTCGCCTCTCGTGTTTCTCTTATCCGTTCCTCTTTCCGTATTAGTCTGAACTTTATCCTTGTTCATTAGACATGAACTTCTGTTTGTTTCCGTTGCATCTCGTTTCCGTTTCAACAATGTTTTTCTTGAATTGGTTTATTCTACGTTATAGGTTCTTTGATAACCAGCACTCGTTAATAGTTTTGAACGGTCCTCTTATTGGGCTCTTCATTCTTAGATCGGTTTCTTAATTATTTGTTCCCTTCTTTTGTAGTTTTTTTGTTTCTGTTGCACCTAGTTTCCTTGCTTCTCTATTTTCTCTTGTTTCTCTGATCCTTTTTATTTTCTGTTTCACCTCTTTCCATATGCTTCTTTCAGCATGTTTGTTATCTGATTCTTGTATCCATGTTAACTAACTGGTTCTTTTTTTTTTTTTTTTAATGGAAATTGGATGTATCAAATCAGTTCAGCACGTGAATAGCAAAATTATAATGTATTGTGTCATTGCTAGGATTCTTTGCGTTTCTGTTGTACAATTTTGCACCTTATCCTCATTGTTCCATATTTGTCTTTCTTTCTTTCTATTGTTGATTCTTTCCCTTGTTGTTTTCTTCAGGAAGTGAAGGTTTTTTTGGACGGTGCAAAGCAAAGATAAGATGGTTCCGTGTAGGATTATATGTATATGGCTAGGGTTTAATTCTGCTTTTAGTTTTTTTTTTTATTATTTTTTAACAGTTGATGCATTGAGCGTTTTTCGTTTGTGTGAATATGTGTGATCATGTGCATGTCTTTGTATCTGTCTATATGCATATGTGTTTGCATTGTGTTGTGTGCGTATGTGTTTTCATTCATGCTTCCATTGCATTAATAACACATGTCTGTGGGTTTTAAAAAATTGGATCAAACTATCATTTTCGAGAAGGTTCTTTGCCCACTCAGTGAGTGTGTTCATTTGAACTGGATTTGATAGAATTGACATTTTTTTTACTTCGCACAGATTGTGTTGTTTCATGTGACAGTTGGATGACTCAGGAACTATGCTATTGAGCTCCCCCCCATGCTAGGCAGGGGATGCCGTAGCATAGGGTCTGTGTCAATTAACTGTGACGCATTTTTATCATGATATGCATTCATTTCATTACCACAGTAGTATATGCAACATAATTATGCATTTTTCCATTAAATATTTTTTTTCACCATATCCATCATTATACTTCATCTACGCATACCGTAACATCATCCGGCTTATGCATTACGGAATAAACAGTCACGCGTTCACAGGAACATCATTTTAGCAACCCATAGAGTTTAGGTTCGGTCAAGGCGAACCAAGAAATGAGAAGAAATGTGGTACGGCGCATACTAAATTGCCATGGCAAAGACATGGCAGTCAGTCACTTAGTTACCTTATCCTTTTTTTTTTTTAAGTAAAGAGGATGAAAAAAAAATTGAACATAACGATTGTAATAGGTTGCTTCGCAACCCAAAAAAAAAAATCGCGCTGCAGCAGTGGCGCGCGGCTAAGAGGGGCAGCGCGACTCGGGGCAGCAGGGTAACGTGGTAACAGGTGGGCCCTATGATACAACTTAGGTCCTAAGGACCCATGGCTCTTAATACCATGTTAAAATAATGCACTGGGATGAATTGACTAAGGACGCGTCACCTCTAGCACCGATCGTGCGATTTTTGGCTCGCAGGATTGATTTTTGGCGGGGTTAGAAAAGTTTCGGGAGGTTTTAGAAGCACTAATCAAGGTTTCAGTACGGTGGAAGATCGATTTTTGCAGGATCGAGCCAGAGGGGACGCGTCCTAAGGCAAGTAGTGATACAAGTATGAAACCCTAAAGGGGTTGTACCCCTTAGTGGCTACCCCACTGCAGCCTACAGTATACAAAAAACAAAATAACGTTTGACAAACATGGCTAAGGCCTTGACTACGGTACTACCGCGTGACTGGTCTGTGTACGATACGGAACAGAGAAGTCTCATCTCATCTTCTGCCTTGAGTGATCAGTTCTGATCTTTTGAGGTGCCCCAAAAGCTGTCCATCTCGTCACAACAAACAAACCAACCCAACCCATGCACAAGAGGAAGGTTTCTAAAAAAAAACAAACAAACCAGGCAATTGCCTGATTATGAAAGCAGTCACTGGCTTTCACATTAGTACTAAAGCAGCTGCTGTCTGCGTGTCTGAGGGAAAAAAACAAAGGTATAAAGAGAAGGAAGGGATCCACGTTAGTGGAGCAGCCAATCCCGGACAAAACCCAGAGTCATCCACCTCTGGATAACTGCAATTTCTTGGATGTGGTACCCGTTTCTCAGGCTCTGCTGTCAGAGAGAAGGGGGTGCTGCAAGCAACGCCAACATGTGTCTCTTTCGCACCCTAAGTGCTACGACACAAAGCAGCTGCCATCTGCTCTCCAGCGCCACACGCGCAGTTGATCGGATCTTATCTGATCCAAGCCATCGCCACCCATCCTGATTATCATGTCGCGTCGACGCATTGCATTGCAACACCTGCCAGAACACCTGCTACAGCACCTGCCGTCAATCCAACCCCTCCTCCCTTTTTCCACAATCGATGCAGCTGATCTCTCTCCCTACTGCCCCCATTTTCTAGCAATTAGAACAGCTGCTGCCTCCTTTTCTTCCCCCCCAACCCCCATTTCTCTCTAAGAATGAACCGGCTGCTGTCACCCCTCCCCTCTCTTGTCCTTTTAAAGGTTAGCAGATGCTGCATGCACATTGGCGGAAGGAAAGCAGCTGCCATTAATGCATGCAATTCCCCTCCACCACCATTCTCATCGTGTCTAAAACCAAACGATTTGCTGTCTCTCTCCTTAACCACCCCCACCTGTCTTCTCCCAACCCCTCGCCCCCGTCCCCCCCCCATCTCCGCCGTCTTCGCCGTCCATCATGTTTAAAAGTAGAGGAGCTGTTGGCGGGGGGCGTGGCGGAAGAACGCGCCCACCTCCTGCCGCTTGTTCAGCATCAGCAGCGCCTGGCACAGCCCGCGCTTCATCCACCGATTCACGCGCGGAAGGTCCGCCGCGCCTCCGCCCGCCGCGTCGATCCGCAGCGCCGCGAGAAACGCGTCCACGGAACCGGACTCAACCGCGGCCTCCAGAAACCCCCACGCCCACGCCATGTACAGGCGCGGGCTTGCGCCCTCCCCGCGCATGCTCAGCGCCGCCGCCCACACGGCGTCCGCCATGGGTTGCGCCACTAGGTGCGGGCGTTGGCGCACGTACGCCGCTATTTTCAGCAGCGTGGCCGCGACAAGGTCCGGTTGCGTGGGGACGAGCAGGTGCGCGGGGATGAGTGCGCGCACGGCGTCCCCGAATTCGCCCAGCGCGCGCCACTGCGAGGGGGTGAGCAGCGCGCGCGTGCGCTGGATGCGCGCCGCTGCCGCCGCCGCCGCGCCGCAGACGTGCCGGTGCTTCCGCCACGCCTGCATCTGGCAGAACCGGCAGCAATAATACACCAGCCTGGGGTAGGAAGGCGGAAGGAAGAGAGCGGGAATGGGGAGGGAGGAGGGTGGCGGGGAGGAGAGGGGAAGGGGGGTGAAGCGGAGGACGAAAGGGGGGTGTGAGGGATGGGGAGTGGCGGACGGTACGAAGTTAAGAGGAAAGCAGGTACGGCTTAATACCTGTTGTTAGTGCCTGCAGCAGCTTAGCATGCTCTTAACACCTCCAGCAGCCTACCACGCCATTCGCTTTTGCAGACCTAACACGCCCCTCGTGCCCTACTCGATCACGCCCTACCCCCGGCTGACCTGCAGCAGCCTAGCACGCCACTGGAGCCTTACTGAACCGTTCTCCATCCCTGGAACTAGGGACCCATCCCGGCTGACCCGCAGCAGCCCAGGACGCCTTTACTATCTGCAGCAGCCTAACTCGCCTCTGGACCCTGCTGTACCGCTTCCTACCCCCGGCTGACCTGCAGCTGCCGCATTTGGAGGTGGCGGGACGGCGTACGCAGAAGTAGCAGGCGTTGTCGGGAATGTCGAACGCCATCAGCCCAGGGCCTGGATTCCCCACCTCGCCCGCCACGCCCGCTTCCGCGCCCGCTCCGGCTTCCCCCGCGCCGGCTGCGCCGGCAGCAGCGGCAGCAGCGGGAGCGGCGGTGGAAACGGGAACGAGAGTGAAGGTTCGTTGGATGAAAAAGTTGATGGTGAGCGAGCCTGCCGCGCCGATGAGCAGCGCCGCTAGCACGGAGAAGTCGACGGAAAGACTGACTCGCGGCAACAGCGAGCCAACATACTCGCGTGAGAGATAGCAACCGGCGATTAAGAGGGCGAGTACGAGGCACGCTAGCGCGCACGCCACATGCCGGACTCTAACGTTTCCCAGCATCGTCTATTAACGCGAATCACGAAGCTTATGACGAGGAACCTTGCCAGGAGCTTATGGCAACGCAACGAACGAGGGGGGCGGGGAACCCTTGGATCGACTTCCAAGCTCGGCCAACGACTGCGTGTCGGATTTAGGTCACAAGCTGCGACACGACCTAACCCGAATACGCCAGGGCTCTACCATGTCTTATCCTGGACGAAGCGACTTATTAAAAGTTTCTAAGATATCGACACTCCCTAGTACAGTAAGATACCTCGGCAAGCTCTGGAACCTAAACGCCAGCGGTCAGCTTGCAAACGGTAAGACAGGAAAGCAACATGGATTCATCTGCCACGTCTGGTTGACTGGGTCTGGCTGGCTGGAACCCTCACAGCTTTATGCCTGAGGCAGAAAGAGCGAACAAGCAGCGAGAACCATTCAACCTAACCGCGTGACGGAAAACCAGCATCAAGGCTTTGGGAAACTCGAGCAGGCTTCCCGCGAGCTAAAGTGGGGGGACTAGTGGTGGTTGGGTGTGGATGAGGCTGGCTCGGCCCGGATTTAGTTGGTTCGGGCGTGAATTTGCTGGTTCGGGCTGGTTTGGCTAGTGTGGTGAGGAAGACCCTGGGTTGGCTCGGAGTTCGCTCAGTCGGCTCGCGTCTGTGACGGAGGCATGCGGCGAACAGACACGATGGCTTGGCCGTTCCGTTTTCATTCGGGCAGATTTCCTGTCCGTTGTGGCAATGCTGACGATAGATGAGTTGTTGCAGAGGCCGAATCTGGGCCAATAAAAAAACCCTAAACTCGTACACGAACAAACAATTTGAATCGTACTGTACCAGTCACATCAATGTGGGCTGCAGGCAAAGTCAAACATCGTGGAAATGGATGGGCAGGATACAGAAACAATTCACGCGGTGGGTCCGCCTGCAACACGCGCGGTTGAGTGATATACGAGATAGTTCGCTGCAACCTACAAGCTTTCAACATTTAGAAGAACCTAGAGTAATCTTTAACCACCTCTTTTTAAAGATCGCCACAAAACAATGAAACTTGCACTTGCACCTAATATAACTCAGTATCACTTTTAAGCTCAGCTTATTGTGCACTTATCAGTCCCTACAGCACCTTCGTGATCTCTCTCAACATGCCGAACCAGAGCCACAGGGTCGGGAAAACGTTTCCCGCATCTTGGGCATTGCTCAGGCCCCTGGCCACCACCCGCCCGACCAGCTCCGCTTCTGCTTCCCGCTGCCCCTGAACTACCAGGCCCGGCATTATTGCCAAACTGCACGCTGACACCTGTCCCTCCATGCGCATGTGCAGTCTCCACATGGTTAATTAATGCCACAGCATTCCCAAACCTCGCTCCACACTGAGGGCATACCTCTGGCCCCCCACCACCATCCCCACCCCCAGCCCTGGCTGCCCCTGCACCTGGTTGCTGTGGCCCTGCTGATCCCACTCTGACTTGTGAGCCTGCAGCTGACACCGCTTGCCCTGCGCCCTGTTTCTGACGCCTTGCTGCTGTTCCTCGCACCGTGTTGAGATCATTAGCTGCAGCACCAACACCACTGCCGCTGCTGCCTTTGTTGCTGCTGCTACTGGTACTGTTGCTGGCACTGCCAGTGCTTATTTTACCCTTGTTGCTAGATGTCGACGCCTTGCTCCCGGTGCTGGTGTTTTTAGCAGCTGATTTGCCCCCACCACTGCCACCACTGCCACTGCTGCTGCCAGCACCAGCCGCACCACCAGATGGCGCCATCAGCCCTGCCATGGCACCTTGCATGCCTGCCATCAGCTTCTCACTGTACGCCCCACCAGCTGCCCAGAACGAAACAGGCTGCGAGTTCTTGTGGCTGCCCGAGCACGCGTGATCGGCGCCGAAGCGGTGGCGCAGGCAGGTTTGGCGGTTGCAGTCGCGGCAGGTGACGGTGTTGGCTGGGGAAAGCACCTCCTTGCAGCCCTGTGCTGCACACCGCCGCTTGTTGGCCACTCTGCAAGAGGGAAGAAAGGGGGAAGTTAGGAAGTGAGGAAAATAGAACACGAAAGGTGAGGTGTTATCTGGGGGTAGCACCGCCTTGCAGGCCAGTGCCGCGCACCAGAGCTTGTTGACTACCAGAGGGGGAAAGGGGGAGGTGTGGAGGTGAGGAGAGGGAATCGGAAGAGGTTGAGGTGTGATAGTGTTGGCAGGGAAAAGCCTTCCTTGCAGCCCCGTGCTGCAAACCGGCGTTAGATGGCACCCTGCGGTAGGAAAGGGGAAGGCGTTCGGTGAGGGAAGAGAGTGCGACGTTGTGAGAAAACAGCGTTTGCTTGCAGCCCTGTGCCTAGCACCGAACCTTGTTGGCCTGTGAGGAGGTGGGAGAAGGGAAAATGAGAAATTGGTGGAAACAGCTGAAGGGGTTAGCTCAGAACAAGGCTGTTGCCCAGGATACGACTGTAGTGACTCATAAATGTTTGTAGCCCACATCAAGCTCACTGCAATACTGTGGCTCAGAGCAAGGGCCTTAGGCCAAGGCTCAATAAACAACCACCTTCGTTTCCGGGGTCCAGCTTACGCATCTGCAAATTGCTGCCAAAATACCAAGCTGGATTTCACCCTATCGTACCGTTGCAGGTTGCTGGGATCGCATCCAGACCGTTCATGCCGCGCCCACGTCACATTCGGGTCCTCGTCGCCCACCAGTCGCACAGCCTTGGCGCACAGCGGGCACAGCAGCACCACAGCGTCGCCGACTGTCGCACGCGGGCATTCGTGCGACGCCGGCATGCGATGCGACAGACAGAAGACCATGCGACACTTGTCGCAGGTGAAGGGAAGAAAGTCGATCTGCTGACATGACGTCACTGAGCAGTGCTTCCCCAAGTCGGGAAAGGCGGGAGTCCCCATAGTCGCTGTACAAAAAGGCCGATCTAATCTAGATTATATAAATAACCTCGTATCTACAGTAAGTCTGCGAGACTTATCTTCGGTAGTAGCTGAGCTTGATCCTCCCTATTCCGGCCAAGGCAGAGCACTCATGTAACAATATATAACAATATACATCACCGTGGACGCCGCTTTAGCATCGACGGTCGTTTTTCTGCGGCGAAACTGAAAGGCCTGACGGACGGTGCTGAGGCTATCTCTGATGATGGCGTCTTCGCATAAATCGGCGGATCGGACGGTCAAATCTCAATGGATGCTTGAAAATACGTCGAGGAAAACTAAGTTAGATGATCGCGATGAGACAGGCAAACGGCCAGGCCGGGTGAGGGTCGGCTGCCGTGGACGGTGGCACTGGAGTCTAGACTGTAGTGGTCAGCAACGGAATGCCATCATGATCGAATGAGGGAGGGGACTGGAGGCATCGCGCAACGGCATTGCGCGGGAGTAGAACGCCAGACCGAGGCCAATGGGACGTGACTGTACGCGCCAATGAACACCTTGATGTTGCCCACTTTGCCTATTGTAAGTATGGCATACGATACTACTAATGTGTATCTTCATGTTCACAAAATGCCACATCATCAGATGGTATTACTAAGAAGTGCAAAGCGCCTTCAAAGACCCTAAAAGATAAGCCGAAAATGAGTGGTCATCCTCCCGACATGTGCCCCGAGACAGCTAGCCCCAAGTATGCGTTCCCCTGCTGTCGAAGCCACCGTCGAAACCGTCCGCCCAGACACCCCCACGTCTCTACTATCAGAGGGGTGACCTGTACGCCTGGGTTGCGTGCAAGCAAGGGTGCGTAATCGCCCGCCTTGCGACGCTCCCACTCCCTCGCCGCCACTCCTATGGACTGCCCACACTGCCCTAGCAGCGATGGAGACAGCGACAGCGGGTCCGCGACGCTAATCTCTAGGGCATGAGCTTCCCCGGCCATTGGTCGTCGCACAGCTACATCGACCCGCTTCCCCGGCAGCACCGCGCTATCCTCCATTGTCACCACCCCTCCCGACGCCTTAGCAATCCTCGCCACTGCAAACTTCACCTCATCATGCATTCGAGATGGACCGTGCTGGTGTTTGCATCTCAGGGCATGATGCGGGTCCGCTGGGTCATCATATGCTGTGTCGCAAATACACCGCCCCGCCACCCGCAGCTGCTGAATTGGGAGCCCGAGCCATATAGCCGCTGCGATGGCCCACTCGGCCGCAGTGAATGTGAGATCAGAATGAGCCGGGACCACCGAAACCTACGAACCAGCCCCCGGACCCTGAAGGGATGTGAAACGAGCCAGAGTGGCATCGTCACGGGCCAAGCGGCGCAATGCCTGGAGCTCCTCTACAACCAACTGCCGCTCCCGCGCCTGGAAAAGCCGCAGAGGAGGGGCTGCCAAACATAGAGGTAGGCCCGGCATCTCCTGGCGCACAGCCGTAGGCAGCTGCTCAAGGGCCTTAGCAAACCACGGATCGAGAAACTCCGCCCCTGCCGGAGTGCTGAGGTAATCCGCAAACATCGCCTCCTCACCCGCCACCCCTAGGTGTGCAATATCACGCGCAGCTTGTGCCCATCCACAAACATAGGAGAGCGGACTCAAAGAGGCCGCCGCCCGGATCCCAAACCCCCCGAGTCGTACTGGGAGATGCAGCTGCATGCGTGCGCGCCTAGACCTGTCGGGGTCCTGCTCCCAAGTGCCAGGTGGGAAGAGCTGCTCAAAACAATCCTCCAGGCAGCTGTCCCAATCTCTAAAAGCCTCCACCACCTCCGGCCGCGACGGCATAGTCCGGGTGAGATACATCGGCCGCGTTGAAACTGCAATGGCGAGGAGATGCCCGCGCTGAAACTGCAATGGCGAGGAGATGCGAAGCCATCTGAGGGTGGTCAAGCAGGGGGAGCCATGGCAATGGCGCCTGCAACTGTCGAAGCCGCTCCCGCAAGCGGGCCACCTCCCAAACCTCATCCCCAATAGGTACGCCCACCACAGTGAGGCCCTCCTCCACCCGCTGCATCCCTAATGGCAGTGCCCGCTCCGCATCTCCGTGCTCGCGCTCCCAAAAACGGCACTTGTGCGCCTGCACCTCCAACCCCACCCACT